ATTCGGCTGGAACGCTGGGGCCCAGAGAACAGAACCAAACTCAACGCTCAGTCACCACAGGTCGGAGGGTGTGTGCGCGCGCGAGTGTGCGTGTGCGTGTGTGTGTGTGTGTGTGTGTCTGCATGCGTGTGTGTGACCTAATGCAACAGGAGACACATGGATTTCGTTGTGTAAATAGAAAGAATGTGAAATGATTTCAGACGCTAGGACTATAGAGTTAGACAACCCAAGCAATTAGAATTGTCTTAGTAAGAAAATTAATGATATGATGAGGGAGAATCATGGACCCACTGCCTCCTGCACGCCCCCTACTGGGGACTGAGCTGATGGATTTTTAGAGAGAGTGGGAGCGAGAGGGAAAGACAGAGAGACACCTCGATGGGTTGCCTCCTGCATGGGCTGAGGAGGAGCCTGTAACCAAGGTACGTGCCCTTGACCGGAATCGAACCCAGGACCCTTTGGTCCACAGGCCGATGCTCTATCCACTGAGCCAAACCAGCCAGGCCCCAATTTTTCTTTAGACGTTTGCTCAGAGTTTTACTTTTTCTTTTGAGTTTAAAACGGGAAACCCAGACGCTCGGAAGGGGTTCTCCAGGGGACAGCCTGAGCAGGAGGTGGACTTCAGGGCTCAGGCACTGGGTGGGGCGAGACAGCAGGGGACCCGGCGGCCGGGCTGGGACCCCCGGCGGGCACCTTATGCATTTAAAAATATTTATCAGCAATTATAAAATGCATCATAATAGTATTGCCTATTCCTATAAATATGTAATACTTGGAACAGGTCAACCTCATCATATTTACCCTTAAAACCTCTAATTCCTTTAGTTTATCAGAATATTTAGCAAACTAAAATAATCAAAGTGATAAAAAGATGTGGGCTACTTGGTTTAAAAATATAGTCAAGCCCAGCTGGTGTCCGTGGTTGCGCGTCAGCCGACCTATGAACCAGGAGGTCTGGGTTCAATTCCCGGTCAGGGCACAGGCTGGGGTCGCAGGCTCCATCCCCAGTAGGGGGGGTGCAGGAGGCAGCTGATCAGTGACTCTCATCATGGATGTTTCTCTCCCTCTCCCTTCCTCTCTGAAATCAATAAAAATATATTTTAAAAATAGCGAAAATCATGTCCCCCCCCCTCTTACATTCTGAAAAGTCCTCGTGCCATGGCTGCCCGGTAACAGACCTCTTCCCTTTCCCCCGGGTGGGGTGGGGGGCTCCCGAGAGGGAGGCGGGGGGCGAGGAGAGGCCTACCTTCCAGCAGGTCTCTGGCCAGACCAGGTTCTGCCCCCGTGGACCGAACAAAGTCTGACAGG